AACAGGGAGAGCTTCAGTTTTACAAGGTGAAGAGCTCTGAAGACGGATGGTAGTGACGGTTGTACAACAATATGAATGCACTTAGTGGCAGTGAATCGTACACTTGAAATGGTTAAGAAAGAAAGTTTAGCTGCGGGTGGGAAGGCCTGGCTCCTGGTCAGGACCTGGGCTCCAGACCCAAGGCCTCCATTGAGAGGGGGCAGCAGCAGGGCTGGCTGCAGGGCAGGGATGAGAAGACACCTGTCACTCTCAGCTCCTCATTAGAAGGGTCACGTGAGATGACTGCACAGCTCCCTCATTAGGAAGGTAAAAAGTGCAGACAAAACTGAGCTCTGACTACGTGAATTATGGATGAATTGTCTATTTTATAAATCGAACTCCCTTTGTCTTCAAGGCCTTCACTGCGGCCAGGAACCACCCAAAGGCCCCTGCTGGAGGCAAGAAGAGGGGAGGGGGTTCCCAGCCTGGCACTCCCTGGGACTCCCAGCCCAGTCCTTCCAGACGGGGGTCAGGAAAGGGATCAGTGAGGAGGCTGTGGGAGCAGAGGGGAAAGGAGAAGCTGGAATGGAATCGGGAGCAGCAGTCCCCAACCCCTCACTACAACCTGATGCACACATCTCCCACCTCGATGCTCACTTCTGTCTGCAAGGAGAGTGGTTCTCACCCAGGGGCCGTTTTGTCCTCCAGGGGATACCTGGCTGTGTGCAGAGACTTTAGTGAGTCACAACTGAGGGGCGAGGTGTGCTACGGGAATCTATAGGTGGCAGCCAGGGACGCTAAATTCCCTGCAACACATAGGACCTCCCCCCTCCCCCCCAGCACACACACACAGAGTGGCCTGAAGTGTCAACAGTGCTGAGGGCCCACAGGCCGTGCTCTGGAAAGGCAGGCAGAGGCAGCTTTGCTGGGAACTCTGGGAAAGCAGGACTCCTGCTGTGATGCCCCCACTGTGTGGAAGGAGCAGCGCAGGGCGTCACCTGCTGACTCCTCCTTTCCTCAGGAGCAAGGTCAGGCTCCGCTAGCTTCCTGCTCTTCTAATCGCACCGCTGCCAGGCCCCGCCCGACAGGCAGTCCTGGAGCAGCTCGGGCCCTTCCCCACGGAGACGACCACCAAGGCACCCGCCTCCCACCCTGCCTCTCCTGCCAGAGCTTGGGTTTCTACCTGCTCTCAGTAGCAGGTTCATCAGATCTGAGTTTATTTTTAAACCAATAAGCACTGTAGCCAATAGTCCTTTTTCCTATTTTCTGCCCGATTCTAAGCTACTCTTAAAGGAAACATGAGCGGCAGCACAGGGTGTTGAAATCTTGGCTTCGGGAGTTAAGATCCCTGTATGCTCTTGGGCAGGTTAAACGCGGGGTAACTGTCCTTAGCCACAGGGATGCTGTCCTGAGTAAATGAGTCAACACCACCAAGTGCAGAGAACGGTGTCTGGGACCTGGCGGGCACGTGGTGAGTCGGCCATCAGTACCGTGGATGCCCCGAGAACCCAGTTCTGACCCAGCAAGCTGCTAACCCAGCAGGCAAATCTCCTTAGCGTTTCTGTGAAAGAAGACAAGCTGGTTTCTAACAAAGTCACCTTCCCTTTGGGAATAAACAGAGTTACAACAGACCCCGCTGTAACTTGCCGTGACTTCGCTATCTAGTTGGTCACTTTTATCTTTAGGAAAATGCTTTCGGAGAAATGAGGCCCAGCTACAACACACACGATGAGGAAGCCCGTGGGTCCAGAGCTGCAGGCAGCGAGTTCTGACCTGCTGGCAGGGCCCCGGGTGCGCCTCAGCCATGTAACAGGATACATACCTTGCTCCCCGTGAGCTGTGCGAGGTGAGGTTTCAGCTCTTCTCCGATTACGGAATAAATTGCCACCAAGCAGAACACACTGGCCTTCCGCACACTACTTTCAGTGTTGTCATAACCCTACAGAGTCGGAGGGGAACACAGAAAGGAAACGAGATCAAAGATTCGTTTCACCGTCAATATTTCAACATTTCCACAAGTGCCCTCAGAGCTCAACCTTGGACTTGTCAAAACAACCAGGGTGTAACTCAGCTCTGCACCTGATCCAGAGAGCTTCCCGGAGGCTGGGAGCTGCGGCCGACCTGCCCCGCCGGGGCCACTGCAAGGAACTGCCACAGCAGTCCCCAAGCCCCGAGGGAGACAGAACAAGGAAGAGGCGAAGGGGGACAATAACTTGCTTCTTTCTACTTTCCGGTGGTAAAACAAGTTTCATGTGTGAAAACCCTTTAAAGAAATGAGAACTGCACACTCTCGAGCCCGGACATCAGTTAGCACCGGCTAGAGCTGGACCTCAACCTACCGTCGCCTCATCCACACCCCACCCCACCCCACCCTCGGAGGGACCTGCCTGCTGTTCCCTACACAGACTCCAGGACTTCCCAGCACTGTCGTCCCCTCTGCCTGGCGTAACCCAGGCCCCGTGCTCAGCAAGCAGCAGCACCACACGTGGCTGATTTCTCTCTCCAGGACCCCACGCGGCACCGCCTCCCGGATGAGCCCTTTTCTCTTTGCTACCTGCCAGGAACCGCCACTCCTGCTCTGTTCCCAGCTGTCAGCTCGCACCTCCCTGGGTAGCTTAGCACCGCCCCGGCATCTCCGCTCGATGCAGGCTGACGGCCCCTGAGGTGATGCCTATCAGTGGAGACCATCTTCCCCCCAGAGCCTATCTAACTCCACGTCTCATGCTCAGGAGGGTTTCAATCCACATTTGCTGGGTCGGTGAGAGCAAGGACCACTGTCTGATTTCCCACTCCATGGCCCACCTGCCCAGGGCTGGGGCCCACAGATGTGCAATAAGGGTTTGTTAAGGAATGAACAACAACAAAAATGATCCAAATATGTTTACAGTAAACAGAGTTCATTCTCCAGCCCAGTTCCAGGCTGCCAGGACACCTCCTTGCTGCACTCCGGGGAGGGTAGACTGGGAGCCGAGAGAGAAGACGTGAGGCAGCCACACCACACAGCTTCCCAGGTTCTAAAAACAGGTCACCTCCCAACTTTCCCTACCTGCCCCGCTTCAAGCGAGCAAGGAAAGCCAGGCCCCGCGCCCAGCCCGCAGGCACCGCGCCCAGCCCACCTGCAGCAGGCCCGGGATGATGTCAGCCAGCAGCTGCAGCAGGGACTCCCTGGCGATCCTCTCGACGACCTTGGTCTGCATCTTGATGGCAGCCAGGTTGATGGGGTAGTCGGCCGTCTGGATGATGGGGCAGAGCACTTTGATGCACTGCTCCGGGTGGATGGAGCTGGCCAGAGTGGACGCAGCTTCCTCGGCAGCTCTCACCACCTGAAACACAGGTCCCCCCCAAGCGTGAGTGCCACAGCCAGGAGCAGCCAGAACTGTGCTCCTAATTCCAGAGCCCAGCGACATACTTCGCTCAATGCTGCCGTCACTGCCTCGGGCCAATGTTGTTCCAGAAGTTTGAAGGGTAATTTCCCAGGGGTATGGAGGCCCTGGGAAGGCGGGTACAGTGGATTTTGGCAAAAACCTTAGAAAAGTGGTTCTCCGAGTGCGGCCTGCCCCACCCCTCCACCGCAGCAGCAGCCGCGACCTCCTTAGGAGGGCCACCTCCCCGGGCCCCAGACCTGCGGCCTCAGACTGTGGGCTCGGGCCGCAGCTGTGTCAAGCACTCGGAGATTCTTAGGTGCAGGGACATTTGAGAGTCTGCCCGAGGAGATCGGACCCGAGAACAGAAACACTCCCCGCGTCTGTGGGCCCCACAGCAGGAATAACGAGAGAAATGGAAGGAAGTCGGAGTGGCCACAGCACGCGGGTTCCAGCTGCAGGGAGGGTCCCGAGCAGCCCTGGGAAAGCTGCTCGTCCGGCTCACACGCTCACCTCACCGCAGAGGAGCAGCTGGCCTCTGACGGGGCCCCGGCACACCGGGACACACGAAGGGCCACAGGCACCGTCATAGGAGAAGCCGAGTGCAAAGCCCAGAGAACAGGACGGGCAGGGGCTTGGCTCAGAGAGCTGGAAGCAAACCCTAGCCCATCATTCACACAGGCGAACCCCACCTCCTGGTCTGTAAAAACAGGTCATGTGAGGAGGGATGGAGATATCTGGCCAGTCAGTAAATGACAGTAACTACTATTGATAAAAAGGAGTACATACATAAACGATATGTGAAAACACCAAACCGTAAAGAGATATGCATTTCCTTACAAACACAGTGAAAATCCAGCACATTTATCCTCGGGCCAGCCCGCCCTGTCCCTCTATCAGAACCACTCCACAGTCCCCAGCAAGGCGGGCCTGCCCTGCTCCTGTCTGCCGGAGGATTTGTTCTGTTTAAAGAAGCTGAAATCCCAAAGTCACATTTCTTTCTTGTTGGGGACCCTTTGGGCTTTCCCTGAGAGGACCAGATATCTCCTTCAGGCATGACTAAAGGGCAAGTGTCTCGTTAAATAAGATCACCCGCTCACCCCACCATCACCTGGTCAGCATGCTCATGGACACAAAGCATACACCTAGGATTATGCATTAATCCCTTAAAGAGCCAAATGGAGACCCAGGTTAGCAGGGTTCAAGGGCAAATACTGTGTGAGTATGAGGACACAGGTGTGAAAAGCATCCAAGACTTGTCTGTGCTTCCTATACACATAAAAGGTCAGGCTTGGCTGCGAAGCACTGCGGAGAAGTGATTTTAAGAGTCATGTTCTACCTTCAAAAAGCTCATACGATTCTAAAGATTTTCACAGCCTCAGCAATTTTTTTCTCACCACCCTTCTCCCTGCCTTCCAGCTGCGCTCAGTGTGTGCATCCATTCAGTCCTGTGTGTCAGGGGCCAGCTCAGAGCTCAGGCCAGAGGTGCAGACAGTGGGCCCCGGCCTTGCCCTCAGGGTGCTGGGCAGGTGGGGTGGTCCATACAGAGGGCAGCGTGAGGATGCAAAGGCCCAGGAAATGGCGGCCGAGGCCAGGGAAGCGGGTGGGGCCAGGTGGTGGGAATCTGCTACCTGAGGAGCTTCTTGCAGTTGGCCAGGCCTGGGCAGAAGGGTGGTGAGGGATGGGAAGTAGGAGGACTGTAGCAGGATGCTCCAGTGTTCTGCAGGAATTCTTCCAGCTCAAGGCTCCCGGCCCTACAGAGCCAGCTCCGCCTGCCTCTCTCCTGCACAGCAAGCCACTGATGTGAGTTGGCCACAGCAGACTGGGCTTGCATGCACCTCAAAATCAGTGGGCGGGCTTCCCTGTCAGCAAGTATTAGCTGAGTCACATCCACGGGGCGCCACGTTAGTTTACGGACACATGGAAATGAGAGTATTTAAAAGAAACCCGTGGTGAGTTTTTCTTGACAACTCAATCTCCTGCGGAGTGCAGCTTTTCCTACACAGATGCCTCAAAGTAGAGTGCTGTTTGGCCCTGGTGTGCACATGACCTTTCGACCTTTACCCCTTTACCCCTTTACCCCACGAAAGTGGAGTCCAGGTTTTCGTGGGCACATTCTCAACCTCAGAGAGCAGCACCACACACAAACCTCCGCTCGACCCTCTGGTGAGGAATTTCATTGGTCTGAGCCACAATTTTTAAAAACTCTAAAAGGAGGATTTAAAAATGCAGACTACCCTGGCTGGGTAGCTTAGGACATCGTTCCGATAGCCCAAGAGTGCAGGTCTGATCCCAGTCAAGGCACATACAAGAATCAACCAATGACTGCATAAACAAGCAGAACAGCACACCGATGTCTTTCTCTCTCTCAAAACAATAAAAGCCCTGCTGTCACTGTTCCTTGGGTGAAGAGAGTATACGAGTGACCACCCCTAGGAAACACGTGAAGGTACCAGCAGGCCTTGCTGAAGGGACACAGCGGCCAGCCGGAGCTGGGGCTGCCAGAGCGCAGAGCTGTCCAGAGGATGCCTCCTGCCTGGCTATTGCCCACGTTGAGTGGGTCTGCCCACTCCAATAATCCCTCTAACACACTACCCTGGTGACCATGTCGACGCCCTTCAATCAGCATGGCGGGCCAATGAGGCCTGGCTTTGGCTGGTCCTTCTAGCTGAACTTCCCACTGTGCCCTGGTGATGCCGAGCTGAGGGCCCGCCCTGCACAGGCCCGGCCGGCCAAACCTCAGTGCCCACGTCTAGCCCCTGTACATTCCCTGAATGTGGATCATGTCTGCCCTTCACCTGGCTAGGCCTAGCCACCCCTAGGACCCACTCGCTTTAGCAGAACTGCAGGAAGCTCTGTGTGCACACTGCATGCCGCACCTAGACATCCGCTGGGCGTCTCTGCCACCTCACTCCCTGCACCTAGACATCTGCTCAGCGTCTCTGCCACCTGACTAGCAGCTCCGGGAGGGCCAGCACGCACCTCAGCCACTGTGCTCTCCCGCACGTCCAGCACAGGCCATGTCCACTGTACATTAGGGACATTATAAACGTCTGTCGAACTAACTTTCTCCTCGTGCATGTAGTTGTAAAGTACTCACAACTGGCAGTCGCCCCTCGGCATGCCTCGCTGATCTGCATCCACATGCTCCAGCTAAGGAGCGGCCCAGCCATTAAAGAGGAGGCAAGATGTCTACCAATGACCAACATGAGCCTCAGGAAAGCCCTGCACCAGAGTGCCCCCTTCCAGGTGACATACTGGAAAGGATGACACAGATCTGTTCTTCGGCAAAGACTTCCGTTCAGGTGAGCTTCTCCCTACAATGCTGTCTAAGAGGGCAGCTTGTCCTGGAAGAGCTCCATCATGCGGTGCGTGATCGGAGATAAAGTGCTCTTCTTCCTCCTCGGCTCCTGCACACCCCGTGCTGAGCTGGGTAGCTTAGGACATCACCTTAGGACAAGCACAAGCACCCTGACAGGCTAGCCAGAAAGGAAACTGAGGAAACGGTGGGTCTTAGCTCTTAAACTTGGAAAAAACAAAAGGATCAGGAGACTCTGAATGATTTCATAGATAAATCCAAGTTAGAAAACAGTGATGTACAGAAACAGACGTTTAAGATCCCAACAGGAGCCCTAGCTGGTGTGGCTCAGTGGACAGAGCATCAGCCTAAAATGAAGGGTCCCTTGTTCGATTCCAAGTCAACAGGAGATGGGAAGCAGCCGTGGGTGGGAAGGCGTAGGCTTTAGGGACAGACTGGAATTCAGGCTCAGCAGTGGCCCTAACAGTCACAACAGGAGCAAACTAACCCTCTTTGGGCGCCTCCCAGGAGTCTCCGGGCACAGAGACAGGAAGCAGCGGCCAGGTGCACATGAGACCTGCCGCAGGCTCCTCCTCCCCACCAGGCTCTCCTTGCTCACTGTCATCAGGTGTGGTGAGCTGCTGCGGACACGGAAGGCTTCGGATCTATGGAACTCACACACGAACCAGAGGAGACCTCCCTTCTACAAAACTCCACAGCACGAAGCAGCTGATCCCATGCACCTAACACAGGGAGGCTTCTAGAATTCCCGAGAGCAGAATGCAGACGCTGCTCCTCCAGGTGGGCGTGGCGGCCCTCCCTCTTGCTGTGGTCGGACCCCAGGACAGCTCTTCCTGCCAAGGCAGGTCGGTGCTCCTGGCTTCGCCGTACATGCCAAACCCCGGCTTTGGCAGGCTGCTTGAGTCAGGGTGAACTTTAGGTTTTGCCCTGAGTTCTATGTAACATAAGAAGCAAAGATTAGCAATGTAAGCACATGAAGAGCAAAAGTAAACATGGGCAACAGAAGGAAGGGAGGGCAGACTGTTTAGTAGATTAGATGTCAGGAGGAGGCAAGGATTTAGAAAGGGGGGTGGGCGTATGCATGAGAGACAGCAGATTAAAGAGACTTTTGGATCATAATCCACCTTGAAGCTATCACAATTATTCCAATTCTGGTGATTTTGCTAGTCTGGTTAGAAACATAGAAATTCTTCCTTTTCAAAGTTAGTGAAATAATATTGTCTAGCAAGGAAAAGCATAATTTCCTTATCTAACTTTTTAAAAAAATGAGATCATTACTCAGAATACTAGAGAATGTTTGCTTAAAGATAAGGTTTCTTTTGGAGCAAAGAACTTGTCAAAATTTGAATTGCATGTTTTAATAAGTTTGATCTGGCCCTGTCACAGACACATCAGAATAACAGGCTCAATAAAAACATAAATAAATAAATAGATAGATAGATAGCAAACGTCCAGAATCAAAGTGCTCTTCCCAGTGGTTACTCCCAGCTTAGCTCTGCAATCACTCGGGAGCCAGGGAAAAGGTTGGTGCCACCTCCCAGGAAAAGCTGGAAAGACTTTATAAAAAAGGTTTGACAAGCGTTTTAGGCAAATTATGTTTTTGGTAAAAGAGAGGCTCTGATAAAAATTCTGGGGTTTAAGG